GTGGGATTATTTGAGCCATTGACCTCTCTGCTCCAGCCACTCCCTCCCTCAGAAGTGTACCTTACCTTAAGAAACTCTTGGTTCTGCAGCAGCTGTGTGTCTCTGATCAAACCTTTGCTCCTGGGCACAAGACCCTGGAACTCCTCTGGAGATGCTCTATGCATTCCCATATCAGATGATACCGATACCAATAGGTCTTCACACTTGGTGGATAAAAAACACGTCACCCTAGATGGGTGGCGGTGTCATACACCTTTGATCCCAGCACTCGGGAGGCAGAGGCAGGTGGATCTCTGTGAGTTCAAGGCCAGCCTGGTCTACAGAGCAAGTTCCAGGACAGCTAGGGCTGTTACACAGAGAGACCCTGTCTTGAAAAACAAAAACACAAACAAACAAACAAACAAAAATCCATGTTACCCTATGGGATATTCGTTTCTTTCTGTGCGTAACAGAGCTGAGAAGAGGCACAGCTTTCCCTGAAGCTGGGTCCTGGGGCACTGTAGCAGGTCAGGCCAGCCTGCATCTGGAATTGGCACCAGCAGCAGCGGGGATTTAGTTCATCTCCAGGCTGCTAGGAGTAGTGGTCAGAGGAGTTCTTTTGTCCTTTAGATGCCTCCACATAGCTAAAGCCAGACCCTTGACTCTGACACACAGAAAAGGATTTCTGGATAAGCAAGTATGAGGTCGCTTCTAAGTTTTTAGCAGATTTTGAAATGGGATTAATAGAAACAGAGGCACTCAGGAAGGAAGGAAGACACACCTGAGATTATGAATGTGGGTTTCTCAAAGACAAAATTATGATTGAGGGTTTTTTTGTTTTTGTTTTTCTTTTGTTTTTACAATAGCCATATGTACTGGTTTTGGTGGCTTTCTGAAGCTACCCCTCCAAGGATCACTAAGGAACTTGAATAGATCATAGGATTGTTCTTATGGATTTAATAGGATCATAGTTATCAGGTAAAACACTAGGTGGCAAGGACTGCAAAGGTGCTATGATGTTCTTACCATCTTGCTTTTGAGATTGCCAGAAAATGTCTGGGAAGGGAGTGAGGCCATAGAGAAGGTCACTGTATGAAACAAATTGCCATGGTCCATTTCCAGGACAAGGTGTGCTTTGAGTTCATCAGAGTAACAGATAAGCAAGAGGCACCCCTCTCTCCCCCAGTTGGCAGCTGGTGCCCACTTAAGTTACAGGTAGTCTGCTCTGTGACTGAGCCCACAATCAGAAAAGGGGGCAGACTCAAGGCCTGAATTATTAACTAGATAAGGCTTTATGTTTTAAGCAAATGAGATGGGGAATTGGGGGAGGGACAAACCCCAGCCTATATATAAAGTTGGGTCACAATTCACTACATATGGGGAGACTTTTAGGCCTAATTTCAATATGGCCTGAGGAAGCTCCATTAGGCCAAACTAAATTCAATTTAAATTTGATGAAAATGATGTGTACTGGAAAGCAGTGAGGTAGACTGCTGGCTGGATGGTATGAAGGAATAAAGATAACACTCTTCCTCACTCATCATACAAGTTTTAGCTGTCACCACAAAAGGCAGAGTCATAAGAGTGAAGACATAACAAGTTATTTACAAAGCTTTGATTGACAGGGGAGACTTAAGCTGTGAAGACAGAAATACCTAGAGAAAAGTGTGTGTTTTTCTTAAGTTCCTGTTTGAAACTTGGCACCTATACATGTATGTATTTGTACGTACGTACGTACGTACGTACACACGTACACACACACACACACACACACACACACACACACACACACACACGGGTGCATGGAGGGATGTGTGAGAATACACATGCACACACACACACACACACTCAAAATCATTTCTTCTAGCTAAAATGTTTATTTTCATGTTCAGAGTCAATGAGGAGGAGACAGTCATTTAAAAGTTGTATGTATTCACGAGTTACCATGTGATGTCACAATACATGAATACATTGTATGGTGTTTAAATCAAATTATATATAATTTGCTTATATTCTCAAGCATTTATTATTTCTTTATGGTTAAAAAAAAATCGAAATCATGGGACCAGTGAAGTGTTTGCCTTGTAATCGTGAGGAACCTGAGTTCAAATTCCCAGAACCCACATTAAAAGAAGTGCTCGGTGCGATGGTGTGTATTTGGTTATATTTGCTCTTTTGGGAGGCCCACCACCCAGCTCACAAATAAATCACACAGAGGCTTATTCTTAATTATAAATGCCTGGCCTTAGCTTGGCTTGTTGCTAGTCAGCTTTTCTTAACTTTAAAGTATCTCCATCTACCTTTTGCCTCTGAGCTTTTACCTTTCTCTTTCTTCTGTATATCTTACTTTTACTCTTATTCCATGGCTAGCTGTGTGGCTGTATGGCTGTGTGGGCTGGGTGGATGGCCCCTGGCATCCTCCATATTCTCCTGCTCTTTCTTCTTTTCCTCCCAGATTTCTCTTTCTATTTATTCTCTCTGCCTGCCAGCCCAGCCTATCCTTTCTCCTGCCTTGCTATTGGCCATTCAGCTCTTTATTAGACCATCGGGTGTTTTAGACAGGCACAGTAACACAGCTTCACAGAGTTAAACAAATGCAACATAAAAAAAATGCAACACATCTTTGCATCATCAAACAAATGTTCCACAGCACAAACAAATGTAACACATCTTAAAATAATATTCTACAATGGTGCATACCTGTAATCCAGGGGAGTCAGAGACATGCATATCCCTAGAATCTTGAGGACAAGTTCAAGCTTTCTGGTAGCGTTCCAGGCCAATGAGAGACCCTGTCTCAAACAAAAGATGGATGGCCTCTAAGGACTATCACTAGTCAAAACAAGAGGTTGTCTTTGGATCTCTACATGTATGTATTTGTACGTACACATACACACACACACACACACACACACACACACACACACACACACACAGGTGGATGGGGGGATGTGTGAGCATGCACATGCACACACACACACATACTCAAACTCATTTCTTCTAGCTAAAATGTTTGTTTTCATGTTCAGAGTCAATGAGGAGTAGACAGTCATTTAAAAGTGTGATTGGACGAAAAGGGGCTTTGACCATAGGTTAACAAAGCAAGACCTGTTTTTTCAAAATTGGCCTTGGCTTCCCTGGCCCTTCATTTATTCTAACACAGAGCAGAGCACCTGCCACTTGCAGCCTTCACAACAGGCTTTCAGGGAAGGGAGATCAGAAAATTCCTGTTGCCTGCGTTGACACAGAACAGTGATGTGGGGGTGGGGTCGAAGTCATTTTCAGAAGAGGGTGTTAGATCCCCTGGAACTTGAGTTAAAGGTGGTCGTGAGCCACCACGTGGGTGCTGTGGATCAAACCCAGGTCCTCTGGAGGAGCAGCCGGTGCTCTTAACCACTGAGCCATCTCTGCAGCCCCCTCATTTCACTCTTGAATTTAATCCTATTCCGAAACAAAACAAACAGGAAACAGCCTGAGAGCAGGGACCTGGACAGCTACTTGCACATCCGTGTTCTTTACAGCAACAGTCACACAACCGGCCCCACCGACTTTAAGTTTTTTATACATAACATGGATAGAAATGGGAACTGGGCTTTTAAAGAGCCAAAATTTGAAAAGGTGAAATCTATTTTTAAACCCACAGCACAAGGTCTTGACTCCATGGAGATGCCCTATAAATGTCTGATGAGTGAACATGTGCATGCAACTACCCAGGATTCTGAGCCCTGTTCAAATGTCACCTCCTTGAAGACATTGTCCTCTCTCAGCCTGCCTCTTTGTGCTCTGGTGTACGACTGCGCTTGATGGAGCAGAGTGTGCATTATGAGAACAGCATGCTCACTGCAGAGCCCTGTGCATGGGGTAGATTCTTATCCTTGCTCTGCCATAAGCCGTGCGTCTTTGGACAAGCTACTTAGCCTTCTGAGCTCCCTCATTTGGAAGGCAGAACAAGGCAGGATGTGAGCACAGAGCCACCATGATGCTGTTATCATGGTTGTGACAATCATGAGCTGTATCCAAAGATCACTGAACCTCCATGATGTTATTATCACGGCCGTGGCAACCCCATCTCCCTCCTACTAGTGAATCCTCTGGAGAAGGATCCCTCCCTTCCCCCAGGACAAACAGCTCCTGGTCCATGGCAGAGGGCCAGTGAATGAATGAATGAGCAAATGAATGAGTGAATGAATAGACATTTAATCACTTATTTCCAGAGGACCCTCCAAGAGAGGACACTACAGTGTGGGTCCATCACCCATGGTACCAGCCATGGGTGCTCAAAGCAAATACCTTTTTTTGACACCAATGTGTAGCCAGAAATTTCTCCAGTCCTGCCTTGCCCAGCAGTCTGGACGAATCTCTCCTATCTGTAGTCCCATAGCCGCTGATAAAATAATTGCGCTTATAAAAAATTAATTATAAAAAATAAATAAAGCAATTGCTTATATTAATTACAAACTGTATGGCCTATGGCTTCAGCTTCTTGCTACCTAGCTCTTTCATCTTAAATTAACCCATTCCTATTAATCTATACGTAGACACATGGCCGTGGCCTTACCGGTCTACTGGCATCTTTTGCTCCTTTGTCGGAGGGCTCGTATCTTTTCACTCCGCCTTTCTCTTTCCTGTCTCTCTCCTTGGATTTCCCACCTGCCTCTAAGCTGCCTTGCCATAGGCCAAAGCAGCTTATTTATTAACCAATGGGAACAACATATATTCACAGCATACAGAAAGACCATCCCCCAGCACCAATGCCCTTCCCAGTCAGACCTTAAGACATCAAGGCGTGGAAAACTCCAAAGCTTCCTCTTAGCCACCTTCCAGAGAGGATGTCTCTTGCTTCTTTGTTTCAGTGGTTGTTTTTTTTTTTTTTTTTTTTTTCCCTACAGCAGTTCTACCTTTTGGAACATCTGAAATATGATGTTCCCAGCAGATTTGCTCATCCCTTCTTCTTTTGGGAAAATACCAAAATAACAAGCTATTCATACTGTAACCTGATGGTGGTAAGACAATGCATTCCCAACCAGGCAATGGGTGAGTGATTTGGCCCCACGTGGGCCACTAGCAACATCTGGAGACAGTTTTGGCTCTCATGACTTAAATGTGGCAGGTGAGCCCTGGTGTTTCAAGTATGGAGTGGAGAAGGTCGGAGAGGCTCCGAACATCCTGCAGTGCCTAGCACGACCTCACTGAGCAAAGAATTACCTGACGGAAATGCCAAGAGTGTGGAAGCAGGAATGCAAGCTTGAGGCCAGCCTGAGCTATACCGGGGAACCACGGCACTCCACCAAGCAAACCAGCCTACATCACCAAAACGGAGACAGACCACGTCTTCCTTCTCAGTCCCACTGTCAGAAACGTGGTTTCGCCTGGGTGTTTAGGTCAGACTAAGCTGCAGCATGCACACGGTCCGCCCTGAGCGTGTTGGAATGCAAATTCTGCAGGTGTGAGTGAAGCTTGAAATCTTGACCTTTCTAACAAGCTCTCAGGCGAGGCCAGACAGGACTGCCAGTTTATGGACGTACTTTGAACAGCAGTGGCTTGAAAGAATAAGTTTCTTTATTATGAAGTAAGGAATCTAGGCGCACAAATGCAACAATTGGCCCAGTTACAGTCTCCTTGGTCTCTTGAACTGAGGAAAATTAGCCTTCGGAATTCTGCAAACATCCTAATTCACAGGACACAGTGCCAGACCAGAATGCTGATGCTCCCTGTCAGTGCAGAGACGTGGGTAAGAGAGGGTCCTTACTGAGGGTAGACTTACACGGAAGGGCATCATGAAGAATGAAGGAAAGAAGATGAAGCGTCCTCTTGGAGGGAGAGCGGGTGACAGGCCCTGCCTGGGAAGTCTTACTCCTGTGCACACAGTACAGGAATGTGGACCTAGAAACAGAAGCAGGATGGGGCTTTGGGACGATGGCACAGCCTCCTCAGGAAACAAGAGTGGGCCTTCTCTGGGGTACCATGTACCCTGTAGTGGGGGACAGTGTTCAGACCCAGTTGTGGGGATCTGACTTCTCATCACTCAGAGCATTGCTGGGGGACCGTAGGTGTCCACAAGAGTCTGTCTATTGACACAGAGCCAGCTAGAGAACAAAGGGCAACCTTGGCCTTCACACCCCTCTCTCTGTAATTTTCTTTAACCCAGAAGTTACTTCTGAGAAGCAGGAAGGAAAAATGACCTCAATTCCGTGTTGAGGGTAAAATGGTCAGAAATTCAGTTTTGTGCTATTTTTGTGGATTTTTTTTCGTGAGACCATAACCTAAGAAGCCCAGAGTTCACAAGTAGCCCAGGCTGACCTTGAACTTGTCACAATCCTTCTGCCTTAGTCTTAAGTGCTGAGGTTGCAGGTGTGAGCCTTCACACTCAGCTTTATTTGCCATTCTAGGATCGAGCGGCAACCCGGACTAAAAATGGTTCAGACGGCTTCCGCGTCACCATTTAGGCAGGTTACATTTATAGCCAGGGAAAAGGAAGTAACGGAACGGAAGTGAGCTGGTTGACTAAAGCTTCTGTCTTTCTTATTTGAATACGGTTTGAACAACGGGCCACTACCCAGCAGACCGAGGCGCAGTTAAAGGAACAGGTTAGTTTTTATCTCGAGTCAGGTCCCAGGTGTGGAGAAGCTGTTAGGTGACCAGTGTGTAGAGACAGCTTTCGATAGACCCAGCTGTTTAGCAGCCCCTGCCCCGACCAATTTGGGATGGATACCTCCGCATCATTGTATAGACTTACTTGGTTAAAGATCCCTTAGGAAAGCCGGGCAGTGGTGAGTTTTATAAGGTATGAAAAGAGAAACAGAACTAGTCAGCCCTGGGCTATTTTTTCCAAGTGACTTAAAGCAAAGAGAATTTACTGATAACACTGACTCACATAGTCTGAAACTTCCCATCTTCAGGGGAAAAACAGGTCTGTTTGGCGTGTTTCAGTTGGGTCAAGCAGCATTCAGCACACAGGACTCCCTTTTGATTTGTTCTGGTTTTCTGGGTCTAAGGGCAAGGACTCAGTCTAAAACAAAGGCCTCCCATGCATTTTAGCACCTGGCTGCCCCTTGCAGCTGTGAGTGTGAGCGTAGGATTCAGTGAGAGTCTCTCTGGGGGTAAAGGGGTGGCATTCTCCGTCCAGGCCAGCAGAGGTCGGAACAGAAGCCACACCCAGGACCAGCGCACGCACTAGAGAATCCACGTCCCTGCAATGAGAGTGCTCTTGGAGGAGCAATGAGCAATCTTTGCTTCCTTTATATTTGTTTTTGTCTCTCCTCATTTCTAAGAAATGCAACTTCATTGCTTTCAAGGACACATGACGACTTGAGCCCAGCTAATAATCGCAGGGGCTTGTTGCCGAAATGAAGAATCTGTTTTGGGCTGTCGTAGAGCCAAAAATGATTTATAGTTAGCACAGTTAGTCATGGGTAAAAGAATACTTCTGTGGTGTACGGAAATAGCTTCTATCTAGTGGGAGCATCTCGCTGTTCCACAGCCACCCCAGCACTTGCTCAAGCACTCGATTGCCCCCCCCCCCCCGAATCTTTACCTCATTGCTTTGAGATCAGGGAAATACAAGGTGATGGATTTTCTCATGTTGCTACAGACATTTAACTAATGATAGAGACCAGTGTGCCAGAGCAAAGAGAGTTTTCCTCTTGCCCCCTGAAGATTCCTCAATTGAGTCTGACAGCAGACAAGAGAAAATCATATGACTTCATTATGTTCACACACATGAGACTCACCAAAATATGAGACTTGAAGAAGGGCCAGATGGTTGAGATTTATGTACCATCCTAAGCTGCAGAGGCTTGGGAGTCTCTGGGGTGGAATGTGAAAACAGGTTAAGAGAGAATGAGAGAGGAAACCAGGGCAGACAGCGTCTCTCGGAAATCAGCCCTGGAAGGGTAAGTTAAGAGTTGTCCGTGTTGGGCCTGGAGAGATACCTCAGTGGGTAAGCATGCTTGCTGCTCTTCCAGGCAACCTGGGCTCAGTTCCCAGCTCCCATGTTGGGCAGCTCACAGCCTCCTGTAACTCGAGCTGCAGAGCATCTGAACCCCCCCCCCCCCCCCCCCCCCCCCCCCCCCCCCCCCCCCCCCCCCCCCCCCCCCCCCCCGCTTCAGGCTTCTGCAGGCATGCACACGGACGCAAATTAAATCTTTTTTTTGTAAAGGCTGTACATCTTGGTGTTCCAGTATTGAAGCAAACTCATAAAATAACTTATAAAGGTAATACATGTACTGGCTGTCAGCCTCAGAGGCTCCTGCTCACCATCAGCTTCTCCTCCCTGGACAGAGGCTCCTGCTCACCATCAGCTGCTCCTCCCAGGACAGAGGCTCCTGCTCACCATCATCTGCTCCTCCCAGGACAGAGGCTCCTGCTCACCATCAGCTGCTCCTCCCAGGACAGAGGCTCCTGCTCACCATCAGCTGCTCCTCCCAGGACAGAGGCTCCTGCTCACCATCAGCTGCTCCTCCCAGGACAGCACATAATGGTGGGAACACAAAGCAGGACAAAACTGATCACTTTACAGAGAGAGAGTGCGAAAGAGCAAAACAGAGAGAGGGGGAGAGAGAGAGAGAGAGAGAGAGAGAGAGAGAGAGAGAGAGAGAGAGAGAGAGAGAACTGACAATATTTCATGAGGGCAAGACCAAATCACTCCAGTAGCCCCTTCTGGGCCCCACTTAAAGGATCCCACCCTCTCTCAATAGCTCCACCATGGGAAACAAGCCTTTGCTAACATCAAGATCTAAACTACAGCACCGTGCAAACGTCAAGGCAGACACTGGTACCTCGGTTCCTTTCTTCAGTTAGGGCTTGATCCTGGGATGGGGTTCCTGACAGTGGCTTCCAAAGTAGGTACCTGCTTACAAATGCCACTCTCTGAGCCCCAACACCAGCCTTTTCCAGCCTGAATACCACAAAAGTATGGCAGAAACATAGATGAACATACGTGTGTTTTTCTAGCATCAGAACTTGCTGAATAAGTTCATAACGTACGGTGGCTTCACTGACAGCAATCTGCCAGCCAGTCCTGCTTTCCTGACAGCCTGGCTGCTGCAAACACAAACTTGCTTGTTTTATTTCAATCCCCAGTTACTAATATTAACTTTCAGGTAATACATTACACAGTCAATATATCTTCATATATGTGTGTCTAGGTTATCAAATGTCTGTAAAGGCTCAAAGAGGCTGCAGCACAATTCAGTGAGTTTCAAAGAGATTTGAAAGGCTGAGAATCTCCATTAAGAGGAAGACACAGAACTCAGGCTGCAGGAGTCAGGATGCTGGACTCAGGGTGCCACAATCAGGCTGCTGGAGTCACAATGTCAAAGTCAGGTTGAGCTGCAGGAGGTTAATTGAAATGGAAGCTGCAGAGAGAAGGGCAAGACCAGGTCCAAGTGAATAAATGGGTGGACATATTGATGGCAGATCCCAAAAGACAAGTGGATGGATAGTCAGCAATTTGACTAGGCCATATCAACAACGAGGACCAAACCAAGTCGAAGCCTCTGGGACAGCCCAGAGTTTTCTGTGGGAGGTCAGCTCCCACCTTTTGAAGGGTTCTTATGAGAGAGGGATAAGAAAATATTAGAAAGAGAGACCTAGTGGTTGAGAAGACAGAAACACAGGATAGCTTCGGGAGGGCCTGGATCACTACCCAATGGCCTTTTCTGTTTATTCAAAAGGGCTTTTTATAACAATGCCAAGGGCAGGACAAAAGACCTCCCCCTTGCAAGATCAAAGCACACTGCACAGCCAAGTGCAGACCTTCCAAACACCTGGTAACAATGCCCATGGTCAAATTATCTCCTTATGCAGCCCTGCTGGGTAAAGCAAGCTCAGATTCTCTGACCCTGAGTAATTTGGACCTATACAATTTTTTATGTCAGTCCCTTGATGCTCATATCAATTGGTCAGATGACAAGTTGGTGAAAGTGTCACCAACACAGTGCTAGGTCTTTTCCTTTTTATAGGGAGTTGCTCCCCTTCCTCAGTCTGGCATGTTCAAGTTCTCAAGCCGGTTTTCCTGATATGATTTTAGTGCAACCATGTGTTCATCTGGTCCCAATTTACTCTGACAAATTTAGAGGGTGGCACTCTTTCTACTTTCAGGAACAACTTATTTGTTGGTTTGTGCCTTGTGGATGGTTCCAGGCAGATGGTATCATTTACATGTCTATCAAGGTCCTCAGGCATCCTCCATCTTCAAAATGGAGTCAAGTACTGCTCATAAAATGGAGTCTTTCAGGAAAGGTGAGGGAAAAAAAAGTCTTACACAATGCAGAGAAACTTGGGGCATACCACAATCTCAACATAGAATGCTTTTAGCAAGGATACTAAGTCTACATTGGTGAGGTTGTGTCTGTTCACAGTGTGGCTAAAAAGGACACCAAGAAAAGAAATCATGAGATTATATATATATAATTTCAATAATTTGCCAGCTTAAATATGCGAAAATCATTTTTATTTGGGCACATCCAGGAAGAGAAGTAGCTGGATCTTTGGAGCTGTAATAGGTAAGTGTGTTTATACTGACGAGGATGTGTAATGTTATGAAATATATATCGTGGGTTTCATCCACAACTCCTTTCAAGAGACTAGAGCAATAAGAATATCTTTTGTCCTTAGTTCCTGAAGCAGAGCGCCAAAGAGGTGAAAGACGGTCTTTATTTACAAAGAACCTATTTCAGCTACACCTGAGTTCACGTTAATGAGGCTATTTGTGTAAAGTCCCTAGACAACCATGGGATTGGGTTGTGTCTGGTTGCCAGGGCAACCAACTATGTGCTCAGAGGGTTGAAACCCTTTATCCCTCTCTCCCCAAACTACCTTGATGGACAGAAGCTCAAGATGGACACCAGCGGCCAACGGTTTGATCAATCATAGCTGTGTGATAAGCCTCTGCAAACACCACAAAGCTGGGCTTGGGAAGCTGCAAAAGGGCTCAGTGTCTGCAGCATGGTGTCCCCAGTGCATGGTAATGCGTCTCTTCCCACACACACCACCTTATGCATTTCTTCCTGCCCTTCACATAGGCTTAGAAATACATACAGCTATTTCCCGACTTCTCTGAGCCATTCTAGCAATTTCATCCAACACAGCGGGGGACTACTAGGAGCTATGATTCACAGGCAACTGGTCAGAAACAGGGGGTACCCCAGTGCTTGCGACTGGCCCACTCAGAATGGGAGCTTTCTTCTGGGACCAAAGCTGTGACTGACAGGATCCGACGCCCTCCACAGTTAAGCAGTATCAGAATTGACTTAAGTAGGAGACATAACTGCTGTGATTCTAGAGGCATCCATTTGAGGATTGTAGGTATGTTGAGAAAACCCCCACTCACATTTAGTCACAGATGCATTTTGTTTTGTGAGAGTAGAGAGTGAAAAACAGATTGTTTCCTGCTCAGGGAGACTGGAAACTCCACCTTCTGTTGAATAGCTCCTGGGCCTGCTGGCACTGGGGAGAAGGCTATAGTCCCATTTAGATTAGAGTACTGTGTTCCGTGATGAGGCCTTGGGGTGCTGAGCATTTTAACCTGAAGGAACTGAGAAAGCTCAGAAGCAGGAAGGTCACCTTACCCTTCTCCCGTCTTCTCGCCTGAAGCAGATCATGAAAGAATCTCTCCTGGCTGTAGATCATAAGACTCACTGTAGAGGGGTCCTGCCCTGTACCCAGAGGCCAAGAATTGTACACGCAGACCTTGCTGAGAGTTCTTGCAGTGTGAGACTCATCACCTCGTGCCTTGTTATCCCCCAGTCACCTCTGCACGACTGTCCCTAAAAACACATTGTTTTCCTGGGCTCTTCTCATGACAGATAAAACTTCTATTAAAATTCATCATCTTTTTTTAAATTGCTAATCCATCTTTTATTATATGAATTCCAGCCATGAACCTTGAAATAGGTTAAGGATTTTTTTCCCCCATTTAGTCATTTATTCTGGAGTTACAGACCAGACACTCACCAAAATAGGGTGGGCAGGTGTTTCTATTCTTCTCTTTTTAGTCAGTTGTCAGAATTTCAAGTCAGGAGTTTGTCCCCAACCTCCAGAGTTGCAACTTCTCTGAAAGATCTGGCTGGCTGGGGCCGGCACTCTAGACATCGTGGCCAGGTTTCCAAGCACAACTACCCCATGGACAGCTCTGGCCTCCATCAGGGATGGTTCAAACACCCTGTAGTCTCCCACAGAATGTGGCTAGATTAGTTTACCAAAAGTTGTCTTTGTGCTTCTTGATTCTTGGTAGGGTTATCCAGAAAATGAGATCATTCTGGTACCCACATTCCTATCAAAATTAAAACTAGACCACGACTTCCCAGGCAGAGCATGGAGAGTTGCGTTTTCTTAGGAAGTAAGGTACATGGATGCTGTGGGATTGGCTCCTGCAGGTACCCAAATGCAAGGCTTCGTAGTTCCCCTGTATCAAATGGTACGGTCTTTCATAGAACACCCTCCTGTGTACTTGAGTCATCTCTGGCCTTAGAATAGTAGAACAATGCAAGTGCCATCCAAATTCTTGTTCTACTGCATTCTTCAGAGATAATGAACAGGGAAACTGTCCATTTGGCACAGATGCAGACTTTTTCATGTTCCCAATCTCTGACTGAGTACCTCTGTAGATGCAGAATTTGCAGACACAAAGTCCACACTGAATACTTACCTACTCACTGATGTCTGTAAATAAAAGAAACCATATGACTCTTTAACCTACTTTACTCATTTGCAGTCACTGGTTGACTCCCACAGATATCGGGTTTTCAGTCCTTGGTGCAACCTAATACAAGAAAATGTCTCCCAAATTCAAAACACCTCATTGACCAGTCAATCAAACACAAACAGGGATGTCACCTGGCACATGAATCCAACAACAAACAAATCCTGATCCAGTGGTTTTGAGACAACTGTGCAGTGTAGACATAGATTGAGGTCTAGGTGGCATTAAGGGATGACTGCCTTAATAATAATCTTATTAAGTGTGATAATAAGATTCACGTGACATGTTACAAATGTTCCTATGTCAAATATACATGTTGACATATTTATAGATGAAAAAGATTTGATTCCTGGAATTTATTGCAAGATAGTCAGAAGAAAGTATAATTTTGAAACTTTTCTATAATACATAGATTAAGAAGCAGTGTGCACCCCACGTCAAGAACCCATGATTCCCTTTCTTTTCATGCAAAGTAAAGTTCCTGGTACAGTTTGCTTCTTGATGTGTCTGTTGCTCCTCAATATTGCTACAGGTTGACATGCCCACAGCATGATGAACTAGCCCTTTTGTTCTACAATACTTCTTGTCAGTAGCGTGGTCTATTTAATTACTTAGGTTAGCTGGGTGGCATTTTTATTTTAAAGTTTTGTTTTAAAATTGTGTGTTTGTGAATAACATGTTTCTTTCTATTTTAGTACGAGGTACATTACATTTTAGCCTGAGACCAGTTTTAAAAAGGATCTTTGTGCCGGGCGGTGGTGGCGCACGCCTTTAATCCCAGCACTCGGGAGGCAGAGGCAGGCGGATCTCTGTGAGTTCGAGGCCAGCCTGGTCTACAGCGCGAGATCCAG